TCCTTAAAGTTTCACCCTTTTGTTTTAGCATTTATTGATAATTCTTGACTGATTCAGATAATACTGTGATAAGTGTTTACTTACATTATAGATTTAGCCAGTGGAAGGCCCCTCGAATAGGATCCTATTGATTCTTGCTCTTTTCAGTTTGCTTTTTTTTAATATTGTTTTTTTAGTTGTAGATGAACACAATATTTATATTTTATTTATTTTTATGTGGTGCCTTGCACATGCTAGTCAAGTATTGTACAGCTGAGTTACAATCCCAGCCCCTCAATCTGCTTTTCTTAAAAATAAAAACAATATTTAAAAAAATCTTGGGGCTGGGGATGTGGCTCAAGCAGTAGCGCGCTCGCCTGGCATGCGTGTGGCCCTGGTTCGATCCTCAGCACCACATACAAACAAAGATGTTATATCCACCGAAAACTAAAAAATAAATATTAAAAAAAAAAATAAAAAAAATCTTATTTCATTCTTAACTGTAAACTTTTCACAAGATATTATTTTACTGATTCTAAATTCATTTACTTTTCAAGATGATTTGATGTGAATGTTTAACTATCCTTACATTCTTCAAGGAGATGAATGTTAATTACTTTGCTTTTTATATTTTTGCAGTACTGGGGATTGAACCTAGGGGACTATCACTGAGCTACATTCCCAGCCCCTTTTATTTTTTATTTTGAGATGGTCTTTCTAAGTTGCCTAGTGTGATCTCAAATTTGTGATCCTCTTTCCTCAGCCTCCAGAGTAGTTTGGGATTATAGACATGTGCCAATAAGCCTGTCTTGAGACTAAGTATTTTAAATGCTGTTATTAAAAGCATACTGGTGAACTTAATGTATTTCTTAGGACTTGGTAAGACAGTATTATAAAGTTTTATGTTTTCTAATTTAGCATTAAAATTTGGGGCAAATTTAATCTGTATTTTTGAGATTGAATTAAGAAGGCACAATTTCGGGACTGGGGTTGTGGCTCAGTGGTAGAGTGCTTGCCTTGCATGTGTGAGGCACTGAGTTCAAACCTCAGCACCACATTAAAAAAAAATAAAGGTACCAAAAAGAATAAAGAAGAAAGACCCAATAAAAAATAAAAAAATTTAAAAAAGGCACAACTTCAAGGTGTGTGTGTGTAGGGGGGGCAGTGCTGAGAATTGAACTCGGCCTTACATGCTATAGGTAAGTGCTCTGCCCACTGAGTTACTGCTCTGAATTTTGTTTTTCATTATTCTAGGGATCAAACCCAGGGCCTCATGCATGCCAGGCAAATGTTTTACCACTGAGCCACACCCCTAGCACAAGGCACAATTTTATTTAACAGTTAAATCTTCTGCTAAACTTAAAAGTAGTTAGTGAGGTTTTCTTGTAGACCAGGTTTTTGCTTTCTAGGAGGCTTTTTTGTGGTGCCAAGGATTGAATTTATGACTTTATACATGGTAGGCAAGTGGTACCACTGAACTAAACCCTTGGCCCCTTCCTGGGAGCTTTTGATGTAGTTGTTGCTACCTCCCATGAAACATGGCAGTGCAATTTCAGTTTCAGTTGGGGGTGCAGATTTAGGAGGATGTTGAAAGCTGCAGTGTTTAAAGAAGTCTCAAAAAAAGGGAAAAGAGATTGAAACTTTACCTTGAAGAACATAAGGAGAGAAGCAAGACAGTCTTTGCTTAAAGAAAATAAAAGCAGTAAGAATTGAGGAATTGTCAGATGTTCAATGCCTGCAATCTCAGCTACTCTGGAAGCTGAGGCAGGAGAATCACAAATTCAAGGCTAGGGCACTTTCCTATCATGTTCAAGGCCTTGGGGTCAATCTGCAGTATCACCACGTTTTTTTTTAATATTTATTTTTTAGTTGTAGTTGGACACAATAGCTTTATTTTTATTTTTTGTGGTTCTGAGGATTGAACCCAGGATGTTGCACATGCTAGGTGAGCGTTCTACCGCTGAGCCATAACCATTATGGGGCCATTATCACCACATTTTTAAAAAGCAATAGGAATGAGCTGGATGTGATGGCACATGCCAGTAAACCCAGGAGGCTGAGGCAGGAGGATTGCAAGTTCAAAGCCAGCCTCAGCAATTTAGTAAGGCCCTAAGCTAAGCTTAGTGAGACCCTGTCTCAAAAAATAAAAAGGGCTGGGGATGTGGCTCAGTGGTTAAGAGTACCTGGGGTTCAATTCCCAGTCCCCCAAAATAAAATATAATGATGTGACTTAATGAAGAAACATACTTGAAGCCTAAGGTGTATAGATGTTGGCAGTAATAGAAGAGGCTAGGTAAGTGGTAGGTCTTTGTAGTTTATGAAAGATGAAACTAGGTAGATGAATTTGATTGTTTTAAGTAAAGTGCTGTTGAAAGTTTGACCAATTCCAAAGATTGTTTTATAACAGATTTTCCTATTATAAATAATATATCCTTTATTGAAACTTGGGGAATATATGGGAAGGAAAGGGGGAAAAAATGAATACTCCTGCCCAGGAACATCAAAACTTTTCAATTCTTTTAGGTTGGACTGAATTAATTTTCTTTTTTAGAGAGAGGGGGAGAGAGAGAGAGAATTTTAATATTTATTTTTTAGTATTTGGCGGACACAACATCTTTGTTTGTATGTGGTACTGAGGATCGAACCCGGGCCACACGCATGCCAGGCGAGCGCGCTACCGCTTGAGCCACATCCCTAGCCCCTGAATTAATTTTCTTACTTGAATGATAATTGATTCCCACAGACTGGAGTATATGAGTGAATTATTAATATTTTCAAAGCAATTTCTTTTAAAAATAATATCCCTGATCTTGGTTTCTCTGAAATCTGGATATGTGAAGTGTGGGACATCACAAAAACATATTTTTCTGAATAAGCAATTTGCTTTTCCCCCCTTTTAACATTCATAGAATAAGAGTAGTAGTCAGTTCATTACAGACTCATTCTTTGTTAATTTTTGTGTAAATATTTGTAATAACAATGTAGAAAGATCATGGATTTGGTAGCCTTGTAGTCCTGGTTATGGATTTTGGTTCCTTTTTATCCTTGGGCAAGTAATTTCTTTGAGTTTTAGATTTTCTTGTCTCTGAAATAAAAAATAAGCAGGGTGTGGTGGCACAGGCCTATTATCCCAAGGGTTTGGAAGAGTGAGGCAGGAAGATTACAAGATTGAAATCAGCCCCATCAATTTTAGCAAGACCCTTCCTCTCTCAAAAAATGAAAAGTGGGCTGCAGTTGTGGCTCAGTGGTAGAGCGCTTGCCTAGCATATGTGAAGCACTGGGTTTGATCCTCAGCACCACTAAGGTATTGCGTCCATCTACAACCGTGCCCCCCCCCCCCCAAAAAAAAAAAAAAAAAAAAAGGTAAAAGTGTTAAGTTTGTTGGCCTCTACACACCACCCGGCAACTCAGGAAACTAAGGATGGAGGATTGCAAATTCAAGGCCAGCCTTAATGACTTAGCGAGGCCCTAAGCAATTTAGTGAGATCCTGCCTCAAAATAAAACGTAAAAAACAGCTGGCGTTGTGGTTTAGTGGTTGATTACTCCTGGGTTAAATTCCTAGTACCAAAACAACAAAAAAAGGAAAGGACTGGGGATATAGCTCAGCGGTAAGGTACTCCTGGGTTTATTCCCTAGCATTGCTCCTGCACACGCTAAAAATAAACAGGAAAAATAACAGTCCAAGTAGGGTCATTATGAAGATTGCTGTAATATATATGTACAGTGCCTAGATCTTGGAAACTTAAGTGATAGTATGATTTCTACCAAAAAAGAATAGCAACTGACAGTCAAATCATAGTTACCTGTGGGTAAATGGGAGCAAATGTATAAATTAAGGTCTGTGAACTCCTATTTTCCACTTTTGGGCTTTTTTTCCCCATTCATTTTTGTTGTTGCTATTGTTGTAGATGGACACAATTCCTTTATTTTTTAACCCAGTGCCTCACACATGCTAGGCAAGTGCTCTACCACTGAACTACAATCCCAGCCCCATTCATTTTTTAAAAAGTGTATTATGATTTCATGTGTACAATAGATGGCTTTTAGATTAAATTTATGAAGGACTCATAAAGACTGAGTAATAAAATAAGCCTTTAGTTTTTTTCAAGGAAAACTCAAATAATCCATCCCTAAGTGAATTTATTTAAGCTCTCCCTGGGGGAATGTGGGTGGTTTTCTTGTCCTACCATGGAGTTAGATCTTTCTATAGTCTGTTCATCAATGTTTCACAACCCTATGAGGTATTTATCTTTATATTATAGAAAAGAAATTCGTAGTCCATGAATATGTTCAGGTCCCTGGGATTAGTGTAGGATTTCCATGTAGGTTGATCTGACTCTAGTACGCATAGAATTTTGTGTGTCATTTTTGTGCTTCCCTTTTCAGACCACTGATGTATGTTTGAAGTTACTTCCATTAGGATGAAGTTACATTAGAATGAAGTTAGGCTAATAATTAGCCTAAAATAAGTATAATAATAAAGTGAATCTGTTTAGTCATAAAATAGGACTTTAACGGGCTGGGGTTTTGGCTCAGTGGTAGAGCGCTCGCCTAGCATTTGGAGGCCCTGGGTTCAATCCTCAGCACCACTTAAAAATAAATAAGTAAAATAAAGGTATTGTGTCCAACAACAACAAAAGAATTTTTTAAAAATGGACTTTAAAAGTCAAAAGTAATTTTTATTAATTGGGATGCTTGGGTGTTGCTAGCTGTTTAAAATCGAAGAAATATAAGTCAGTTTGCTGGATGTGGTAACACATGCCTCTGTAATCCCAGCATCTCTGGAGGCTGAGGCAGGAGGATCACAAATTCAAGGACAGCCTAGGCAACTTAGGGAGACCCTGTCTCAAAAAGGGTTGGGGATGTGGCTCAGTGGTTTAAGTGCCCTGGGTTCAATTCTTTGTACAGAAAAGAAATAAAAGCCAGTTTATTTGTGGAAATATTCTATTTAGCATAAATAACTTAAACTTTAGTATGTTCAGATAAGTTTTAACTAATCATTTCATTCTTTTTTTCATAGGAACGTCAAGGTCGTGGAAAATAGAAAGCAGTTCTGAACAGACTGCAGCAACGGTTGCATCTGCATATCCTAAGAGGAAAATTGACCTTCAAGAGAATTAGGACTTTTTTCTTAATTTCATTGACTTCAGAGACGATTGCAGACTTGCAGTTTAAGTATTGGAATTTCACAAAAGACATAGGACTTAACTGGAAAATGAAAAAAAAAAAAAAGAAAAAAACAGAAAAAAAGTAAACAAAAAATTCCTCTAGGTAGTTTAGGTGAAAAATGTCCCTTTTATTTTGGCTTCGGTTGTGATTTCAGAGCATAATGCTTTGGTTTTTTTGTCTTTTACTATGTTTTTCGGATTTTTAAGTCCGTAAGTGCATACAGTTTTCTCTAATTTTTAAACCCTTTCCTCCTCCCATTTTGACATTTGCACTTGGAGAACACTTGAGTTGCAAAGGTTGGGTGTCCACCCCAGAAAGTGGGAATTTGATTTTTCCCTTCCGAACTGGAAGAACATTTTTTATGAAGAATTTTTGTCTAGGAGAAATTTAACAGTGTTACCCAAGGTTGTGTCTTTAAGGGTGGTTCATTTTCTCTGACCCTTTGTTACTCAAAGTAAAGTACTAGGAGTCCTAAGAAATGTTCTGTTCTTGTACATTATACTGATTAAGTCAGGATTAATTTGATTTCAAAGCTAAGAACAGTGGTAAAAACTCGTTTTCAGAAATGCATTTTGGAAGAGAAAAATATTGTAAAACGTGTAGTGAATGTTTCTTCAGTTTCTTGTTCAGCCAATGAGGAAAGGGCATTGCCTTTCTTTTTACCATTAATCACTTCTCAATAAACGTGAGATCCTGTTGAGCATCACTTTTAGTACCATTTAGTATTATTTGAATCTGCTATATGTTGTGAAAGATTTAGAGTATAAAGAGTTCTAAGAGGCAAGATAGCAACTAATTTAGAAAGTTTGTGTTGAGAGGAAATAGTTCAGGTTTGCTTTGTACCTAGGGCTGTATAACCATGACCCCTGCAAAGCAAGGTGGGTCAATATTCATAATGCTTTATTTCTGGATACTTTCCAGAGAAGATAGAGCCACTGGTAAATCATTCATTCAACAGATAACTGTGTTTATTAGGTGCCAGGCACTACTAACTCCACAAAACTCTGGCCAGTGATAGTAGGGGAGGTGGTAGCACCCAGTATCCAAGGATATAAGTGTTTAATCTGAAATATGGGTTATTGCTTGGTGGTGCATGCCTGTAATTGCAGTAACTTGGGATTCTGAGGAGGAGGGTCACAAGTTCAAGTTTGAGTCAGTCTTAGAGACTTATGGAGACATTTCTTGAAAGGGCTAGAGATGTAGCTGAGGGGTAAAGTGCCCTGAGTTCAATCCCCAGTACTTAAATAAATGAATGAATAAATAGGACTGGGGATATAACTCAGTGGTAGAGCATCTCTGGGGGCAAAACAAAACCAAAGTATGTTTTATTTAGACAGTATTCCACATGGATTCGTGTCCTAAAAAAATGAAATTCCAGTGAACCCAAGTCTTTGGAGTGACTTATAACCATACAACACTTAATTCATTCTTGTTTTTTCACCTAGATTTGAAGGGCTTCTGTGCCTTAAAGATTTTTTAGCTCTTAATATGTCCCAATTCAGGGGTTGGGAATGTGGCTCAAGAGGAGAGCACTTGCTGGCATATCTGAACCCTGGGTTTGATCCCCAACACACACACACACACACACACACACACAAGTTTAATTTTGGAGAGGTAGTTTGTTTAAAAACATCTGTACTAAGAGAACTCTGAAAATGGGTCTTAATACTTGTTGACACTTTTGCCCTTAAGTGACTCACTTACCCTCTTCTACATAGCCCAGGCTGCTAAGTCAAGGGTGCAAATGAAGTAAGTCAATGCTGATTTTTAATTAACATTGTAGTTAACACTTAGCAGGCAACAACTTTTTATATCAGGGATACAGTGTAATATTCTGGATATTCCTGTCAAGCTTTTTGAAGAAACATTTCTGCCCGCCCCAAAATTACGGAAATCCTTGTGGTTTTTCATTAGTTTGAATTTGCCAGATTTCCCAGTAAGAAATGGGCTGGGTGTGTGCTGCATGCTTATAATCCCAGTGACTGGGGAGGAGACTGAGGCAGGGGGATCACAGATTTGATATCAGTGTCAGCAACTCAGCAAGGCACTATCTTGAAATAAAGGGCTGAGGGTGTAGCTTAGTGGTAAGCCCCTGACCAAGTCCCTGGGTGTGTTGAATCCTCAGAATGGGGCGGCAGAGGGGAGAGCAACACTCACTATTTCCACTTTTAGCCTTAACTTGTGGAACTTCTACAGGGTTCCCTTGGGCTTGTTTAGTATTTTGCTTTCAAGCAGGAAAATAATCCAGAGAAAAGCAAATTTAAAAGCAATTTTACTTATATTTTCCTATGTTGAATTCAAGTTGGATATATATATATTCAAGACTTTTTTCTTTTTTTGTAATTTGATATGTTAAAAAGTTCAGTAGTTGCTTCCCAGTCTTTATTTTCATATTACATATAGAAAATACTCATATGGCTTTGGGAATAGACGAAAAGGAACTATACCTCCTAACAAAATCACTCATTTCACCCTCCTGAGTGTGAGGGGTTCAGGATCGTGGACTTCTGTATTAAAAAGAACCCAAAAGCCACATTGGCTTTTTCTTTTCTATTTTTGTAGTGTAAGAAAATTAGACTGTTGACTCTTGGGAGGTTGATTTCAAAGTTGGTTTAGTGAAGGCTCCGAAATGCAGTTGAACCTAGTTGTTTACTGAAGACTTGCCACTGGGAATTTTTAACTTTCTCAAGGCTTTGTTCAGAATTTGCTGCTGTTTGTGAATTTTGTAACGTTGAAGATAGCTGTTAAAGATGAGGGGAAATTGAATCTTATACCATCAGTGTCAAAAATTCAAAGATTTTAAGACTTCTAATATGAACAAAATACATAAATTTTATATGTACTCAATTTTAACTATATTTGATTGGCTCTGTCTTCTTGCAATATGTTCCATTTAAAAAAAAAAAAAAACAAACTTACTTGGAAATAGATTTTTTGGGAAAAACATGGGAAGTTCTCATGGGAAAAATAATATGGGAAGTTCTTCACTAAGCTTCCCAAGTGTCAACATCCTTATAACCATAGTAAAATCATCAAAACCAGTACTACTAAATGATCTACAGATCTTACTTGAATTGTGCCAGTTGTCACACTAACCTCCACCCCCCTTTCCTGGTTCTGCATCCAGTCCAATCTAGGATTCCACATTGCATTTAGTTGTCTTTAGTATCCTATAATCCATGACAATTCTTTAGTCTTCATCTTTCATGACTAGATACTTGGAGAATACTAGCCAGTTAGTTATCTTATAAAATGCCCTCCAAACTATATTTACCTTATGATTTCTTGTTATTAGATTGAGGTGGTTATTTTACAAAAGTACTGTGCCCTTTTCAGTGAATTATATCAGATTACATGTTGATATGAACTATTACTGATAACTGCAATCACTTCATTAAAGTGATGTCTGCCAGATTTCTCTGCTGTAAAGTTATTAATTTTCCCTTTGTAATTAATAAGTTACTTGGGATATACTTTGAAACTCAATTCTTTGACCAACTAATTCTGGCATCTATGAATTGCTACTGCCTGCAACAAATATTACTGTAGTGTTTGCCTAATTCAATAGTTCTATTCCTTTTGCATTTATCAATTAGAATTCTGTAAGGAGGATGTCACTCATCAATTTTTTCCGTGATATCACTATGGATTTATGTCAGTGCTATCATTTGTTGCTCAGATTATCCCAGCTTTAACCATGAGAGCATTTTCAGTTGACCCATGGCTTCGCTTCTTCCTTGCTAGGGATCCAAACACAGGGCTTTGGGCATTACATTTTTTGGAACTCTTTCTTTGTAGTACTACAGGATGTTTCAGGCTAGTTTTGCATTTCCCCTGCCTAACCCCATTTTCCCAAGCAACTCTGGTTCCTTTTATTGGAGAATATTTAAAATCCATCCATTGCTTTTTTTTTTTTTTTTTTTTTTTTAATCTTCAAATTGCAGTGTCTTGTTAAGGTGGAGTTTTGGGTGGTGGTTTGCAGTGCTGGGAGCTGAACCCAGGGCCCGTGCATGTTAAGCAAGTACTCTTCCACCGAATGTGATCATCCCCTGCCCTGATTTCTTTTGAGACAGGGTCTCACCAAGTACCCCAGAATGCCTTAAAATTTTATGATCCTTTTGCCTCATTTTCCCCAGTAGCTGGGATTACTAGAATTATAGGCTTGTGCCACTGTGACCTATAAGTTTTTAAAGTGTGTAAATGGAGGATTGGCTTAATAAAAATACTTAATCACTTCATTTTATCCCTTAAATAGCACTATATATGAAAATATCTGGAGTTAAGTCTTTTACTTGGCCTAATACTTAACCTACAACCGGGCTCAGTGCACATGGGTTGCATCCTGCTCTGACTTCCACCTTTATCCTGAGGTCCCAAACGTTGGAAGTCCTCTCATTAGAGGTGCAGGGCTTTTCCTGTCAGAAAGCAGTCTTTCTGCATTGGGAAGCAATGCCACTATTGCTTGTCACTAGTGGTTTCTGAGCAGCTAGTAAAACTTACCCTTTTATTTGGAAATGTAATCTGCATTACAAAACTGCTGGGTTTGCAGGTGGGAAGCCTGTGGCTGCAGAATTAAGCATCCTCAGCGAGGCTAAGTGACTTGGAGAAGGTCCCACGCTCTTGAGGCCAGTGGGTCCTGGTGTCCGGGATCCTCTCTGGAGCTCCGCCTGAGGCCTTGCTTGGCAGCTGGATGGCGTGTGCACGACACCGCTGTTAGAAGAGGACAAACCTCTCCCTGCTTTCTCCTGGTTCGGTCCATATTCCCCTGACGTCGCTGCATTTTCTCTCTCTCTGCTTTCTCTCTGGCTCTTTTGCCATTGCTTTTGTGCCTGCGCAAAAGCCTCCTCCCTGCCCCCTCACCTCTCACCACCTCAGGTGAGCTGTGAGTTGCGCAAAAAAAACTGGCTGTTGGGATTTTGCACCACTCTGCCAGCAGGTTACTCGGGTTCATGGCTTTCTTCAGCCCTTTCAATAATGCTCACATATGAGACTTGGCTAAAAATTGGAAAGCTGTTAGCACCACCTGCTGGCCATAGAGGTTGTTTATGTCCAGCACGAGGAAAGAATAATTGAGTTCCCCTTTAAGGGGCAGCATCCTGAGGAAGCTATTTTATTGCACTGTCCAGTTTAACATGTCTCTTTTTCCATCTCTTTGGCCATTCAGTCTGAATTTTCTAAGCTCCTGTGCTAATGATGGCCACTGGGGGAAAGAAAGAAAAAGATTGTAGAGTCCAGTTTGAACACACAGTTTGAAGTTGTGGGAGTTATGTATAGTACTGTAAGACCAAGAGGGGCATCCACCCAGACTATCCTTTTTTTAATTGGCTTTTTCTTCATGGCTCCTCTCCACCCCTACCCTCCTTCACAGCTTCAGTTTCCACTCACAGGCACTGTTTCATCCTTAAGGAACTGTGTACGGTGCTGTGCAAATCTATGCATATATATCTTCATTGGAAAAAGGAAATGACTTCTTAAACCACTTGTGTTTTTTACAGGGGTTTAAATTAACTAGCAATGCTTTTTAAATAGAAGTTCAGGTTTTTGTAAAAAGCACATACTTTGGTGTAAGTTTCATTATCCTTTTAAACGTTAAAAACCTTTTGCTTTATTACACATAAGATCAGTGTGCACAGCACGTGTATACGTTTTTAATTTATACATACAATTTTATTTTACAAAAATGGAATAACGCCAAGCTATATGCAG